GAATCCACTGGCGTAGTGTTTTTTTCAATAAAAAAATCGCTAATAAAAAATCCCGATTTTCGACTAAGAAAAAATATCGTAGTATGCCCTGAAACTTCAATAAACATTTTAAATCTTGTCCCAAGGTAGACCTTTTAGTACTTGACATTAAAAAAAAATTATCACAATCGATTTACAACTTCAAATTTTAGGGGGGTGTTTCCATTAAAAATGGGTCACACTGTATGTCTGATCGTGAGGAACAGTGTCAATATTTTTCTGATGAATTTATAATGCATGAGTTGAATGGATATTCTCCTGATATTTCTCTAACAACTTGTTTACAGTTACCTATTGAACAGGAATCTGAAGTGGTGCACTAAAATAAAAATCAAATTGCTATTCTGAAGTCGATCCATCAGAGGTTTCTGTTTTGATGAAAAATATTTTTGCCAATACAGCAAATAGAAAACATTCTTCATTAAACAACATCTTGCATGAAATTAATATGGATTACGGATATTTCATCTCAACTCTTGAGTTCCTTCAATTTAATTCTGAGAATCACTTGGTGGAATCTGCAATATCTAAGATGGTTTGGGTTGTTTTTATCTTCAGTCACAATAAGAGTTTGTGCAACTATAACAGATTTGGTCATCGGAACCGTCGAGGAAGAACAAAGTTGCTGTTACCAATGTGCTTGCCGTTCCAATCTTACTCTACCCGTTTGGAGTAGTGAAGTGGACTCGAGAGGAGCTGTATTAACTCGACGTGAAGACCCGAAAAATGATACATTTCTATAGAAGTTTTTATCTCAAATCGTCCGTTGGACTGTCTACATGACAGAATGGTACTGGATACAGCCTGTAAAGTCGTCAGGAGTTCGGATCCCCTCCTCTGCATGATCCGTGACCGTGAGAGAGCAGGAATTGGAGTATTTCTCTTTAGGGCAGCTGCCCGAGCAGCTGATGAACTCGGTATAGTTTTTGACACTGAACGAGGTGACCCAAAATCTGTCACCCGTTCAGCAAAAAGATCAGGTAAAAACCGCAGAGATCACCTTACTTCTGCGGAAACACAAGGATAAGCCAATGCATGGGGTCTTCTTCAACAACATTGTAGACTTCTGCTTATGAAAGCGCCTGGTCTTAGCTTCCCTCAGGTCCAGTGGGCTGAGGTCGGAAACTGGGGGGTTCATTATGGCTTGCCAGGATGGTGTTTTCAACACCTTAGTCCACCGTAGTCGCTTGATGGGTACTGTACAGAGGTTCCTGACACAAGGTATAGGACCTGTCATCAAGCGCCTGAAACTTCAATACAGTTGCTGTCACCATGTCTAACATATGCGGGCTTGGTGCTACGGTATTTTCACAGTATTAACAAGACACCGGTGTTGATCTAGTCCAGAATGTTGTCAAGAATGTTGTTTTGCTTATTGTAGTATTCGGTGGAATGAAGCCCTTTCTAATCTTGAATCACAAGATCATGCCGGCAGAAATCTTAGCCAGATAAATGCTGAAGGCTGACATTTTTGGATCACTGCGCTCGCCTAGGGCACATGTTCTAGGACTCAGTGATCACTTTTCCCACGATATGGAAAGAGATAATTGGTTGATAATACTTCCGATGTATCGTGGCTTCGAGGAATAGAGCCCAACTAGCGAAACCTTAGGAAAAAAATAATAATAGATTCTCATCTTAACATTTTGGTGGGGACATTCACAGATAACATCTGGCCAATGACTACTGTTTCCAAAATCCGCTACTTTCTTAAGTTTTAATGATATTTTTCCACTTATTTGGTTAGTTTTGCTTCCTAAAATTGTATAGAGAGATTTTGAATTTAAAAGAATTATTTTTTCTCTATTAATGAGTTTAAAGAATGCACATGAGATGTAACCTTCAATAATATTCTCGACCTTTTCGAAACCCATGTTCAAAAATAATATCTACGATGTATTAAATCAAAATTGTACCATATAATCCCACTACGTGTCGGAGAGATGAACACAACGATTTTTCGTATGTAAACAAACGTACTAAAAATAAAAGTAACTCTAAATACAGTTTCGTTACCTGCGTTGGGCGAAGATTTATTTTTCTAAAATAAAGATTTCTGCATTTTCAATTTCTGACATGTGATAAATATTCGCCATAAATTAATTTTATGAACTCGGAACCCCAAAAATATTCCTAAAGTTTGTAGGAAGTGCTGATGTCGAAATTGCCATTGAACGTAAAAATATTACTAAGAGGTAGAGCTAGAACCTTAGACAAAAATGTATTCAATAAAAACTCTTCTCCTACACAGCAGAACTGTAACCACTTTCTTGACGCATGTTTCTCCATGACGCATGTTGAAGTTGTCAGGAGATAATCTAAAGTTTTCGATATTCAATGAAAATCCATTATAACGTTTAAAAAAAACACTTTAATGCGTGACGCTATTGTATAGCAAAACTTCATTCTTTGTTCGCCATAACAAGCTCAAATAAATGCAGCAGAAGCAAATAGAGTTTCAGTCAAGGCTGTTTTTCAACTCAACCTGAAATAAACATTGATTGTAATAACAAAATAACGAGAAGGTCGAATGAACAAAAGGTAATATTAGGTCATAACATGTATTAACAGATAATTACATGTAATAACAGATAATGCCATGTAATTGCTGACGATAACAGGTAATAACAGGCGGTAACATTGATTGTAGT